AATAAAATAAAATAAAATAAAATAAAATAAAATAAAATAAAATAAAATAAAAGAAAATAAAAAAAAATAAACAAGAATTATTTCGGGGACAAAATTCGTCAAATTCGTTGTTGCTATGGTTACTAGTAACCAATGCGTAAAGTAATTTTTTCTACCGTGGTTATGTGTCAAGTTATGCGAGCTTAAACATGCAAATTTCAGGCATACTTTCTAATATGGTAGACAGACGGAGAAAATTAATTTGAATTAATAACCATAAATGCAAATTAAAATTTTACCCTTACAGACGGCAGTAATGCGAATAAACCAGCCGCAAGGTCGTGGGTTCGAGTCCCACGGCCATTATACTTTTTTTATTTCTTTTTCATTCTTTTTTTTATAAGTTCTATATTTTTTTACGTTACTTTCAGTTAGTTGTTGAATTTTTAACAAAATTTATCTCTAAAAATTAAAATTAACTAATAGTAAGATAAGAAATGTGATATAAAATAAAGCAAATGGAAAATAAAATAAAGTAAAATTAAATATATAAATAAAATAAAATAAAAAAATATAAAATAAATAATAAAAACAAAAAATTTTTCGCAATCGCTCCCACCGAGTATCGAACCTGGAAGCTACAGGCTTGTAGCTTGCAACTCTCACCACTCGGCTACCGCGTACGCGAAACTCGGCTGCTTCGTTTGCTTACTTGTACAAAAGACAACAACTAGCCGTTTTTACCAGTGTTGTCATCGAAAATTCCCCGGATCCGAGTTAATTCCCAAAAATTTCGTGCATTTGTTCGGCTGCTTATGCTCATTTTAAAGAGGAAAATGCATGAGTTAAAGTAAATTAAGGCTGGTTATGCAAATAATCGAGCCCGTTTGTCTACCGTATTAGTCACCAGTTTTCTTAAAATTCTTATCTCATTTGACACTTATGATAGAGAATCAAAAATTTCTGATCTATTAGAACTTATTCCGTGCTTTTTGGTAAAAAATTTGTATTGCATTTCAGTAGTAGTTTATTATCTGCTTGTACTTGAGACCGGCCATTTTAGGAGCCGATATAAACTTCTCAGTACCATCTGCGAAATCTCTGCTGCGCTTTTCAAGCTGATGTTTATGTCGTAGAGAAAACAGCAAGTCAACTGCTAATTAGACAATTCCAGCATTTGAAGCCACCATCTTCGTCAATATCCTGTGAACTTATTAAGACTCTGAAATATTCTGCAGAAATGGTTGGCAAAACGGTTCTAGAAGTCTCACACTTGCTGAGCCGAGCCCTCGCAGAATAAGTATTCAAGTGGACAATTAGAACTGCGTCAAGAGCTGTTAAAAGGTGCGTTAACCCTTTCGGCATGCACAACCACGGCCCAGTGTCCTGCTGAGACAGCCGTGAGTTTATAAGTATTTTTCTAACAGAACCCTGATTTTTAGTGGGTCGTAGATAATACAGATCCGTCTGGTGCGATCCCGTAAAACTTCAGCTCTGCTTAGCTTAAATTTATTTAGTTCTTTAGCTCATATTATGAGCAGGCTAATTTCGAATTGTTTAAGCATCGAATCCAGCTCTTTCCTACAGATCTCGAGTAATTGCTCTAACCGGTGTGTTCAGGGAAACTCAATGCTCGGCGACGCTCCAACGATAACGAATACCAAGAAATTGCCGCGATGGAGACGAGACGCAGTCATTTGACCACTTTTCGGATCCAGCCTTGAGGTCATACTTATTCACCAGCCTCCAGCAACTCCGCCTACAAGAGATGAACTCTCTCGGCAAGGATTGTATCTTAAGTAGCGAAATACAAACGACGAGGTTTTAATTCGATTTAATTTTTTATTGTTTCGCCTAAGTACTGCTTCTAATTCAATGCGCTACATCGTTAAACGTTCAAGGAATTAAATCATTTAAATTATATTTTTTTTTATTTACAGATTTCACAGTGAATATCGCCCGAAAAGTGTAAAACCTTCAAAATTGGCTTCAATCCTCCAACACGAATCGGATTTCACAAAGAAAAACTAATTTTGGCTGCAGCGTTAACACGATACCTCTCATCCGTCGTTGTCTACTTATATGTACATACAAAAACAAAAAAAAACAACTATTGTAACTGCATCCATTCAAACATACATACATACATATTTACTTATCTGCTGCTGGTTGTTCATTGTACAGTTCCGCCACTGCTGAAGCAGCGATTCACACACACACACACACACACACACACACACACACACACCTCGAAACCTATTTTCGCGCCCACAAAGTGCTATCGTAAACTTCAAATTGGCGGTTGGAGTGCGGTTTTCGGGTATTTTTAAAATCATCATAATTTCGCACAAGATCCGGTGATGTGGGACAACCCCCGCAACGGGAAATGCAACAAACCCAACGTTATATACCGTCTGTATCTGATTTATATGGAACGGACGAGATAGAACTTCTACTGGACGAAATACGCGAATTAGAACCGGTCTGCTGTCAGCTGGACGATGAACAGGATTTTGAAATAGCTGGCAGCAGAGCTGGTGAGCTGTCACTATCCTTAGAATCGCCGCTGGGCACGTGCACGTCGTGGGACTCGCACGCCAATTATAAACAGCGCAGCGGCCAAACGCCACTGCCATGGGGCGTAGCCCTACACTGTGATCCGCAACACTTGAAAACGCCTACAGGGATTGTGAGAATTCTTTTGGTGGTAAGTAACACGTAAGCGATAAAGTTATGTATAGGACTTGTGGGGTAATTAAAATTTCTTATTTGATTTTGCAGTTATCGTCAGCCGCTTGTCTAGCCTGCGAATGCTCCGCCGGCACGGTACAAGTAGGCCTCTTTTTACTGCCACTCATCGGACGCTTGAGATTAATGGTCTTCTGTGCGATCTTCTCCTTACTTATCACCTGTCTAATGTTATTTCTAGACATTTCACATATAGCACTCATGTTCCCATTCAATTGGACTAAAGTTGTAAGTTACTAAATAATATAAAATTTAATAACAAAATAAAATTAAAAAAAATAAATTTTGCGAACTTTTTAATTCCAGAATACATGGATGTACCTGAGCATTGGTTTGATATTGATTTTGAGCTCGACGCTGGTAATGCATATGGTGCTTTATGCCGAAGAGTACATTGCGGTCAACAGGCACACCAAGGATACACTATTTACTTCAGCGGTATGTGAAATATGCAAAATGATTTACATACATAAGTTAAATCAAATATAAATCCTCTCTTCCCTGTCAAATCGTTCTTATTTGGCACATCCTTAACTCATAAGTTATACAGAAAACATTTTGCTTTGGGTTAGGGTGCTTATCCAGAATAGATCCTTTGTTTTTATTTGTACCCGACAATATCAATATTATCAAAATTTTAGGCCAACATTGATCTCTTTAAATTTAACCTCCGTTTTTTCCAAGGTTAATTAGAAAAATGAAATTGATTTCTATATAGACGAAGTTCAGTTCCAATTTCAACTTATCGCGGCTCTAGATCAGTGATGCTTAGAGAGAGCTTTTACTCTGTGCGCGTCCATATAAAAGGTGCAATCCCGTATTCCTCGGACTCGGACTAGTAAAACTGTCAAAAAATGAAACTTCGCTCAGAGCGAGAGAGTAACATTGAAAAGTACGGGATCGCTTTCTAGTAAAAAATGGTAACTTCTGTCAACTTCAACATAACCTCCAAATTTTGGTTGTAAATTTTTGCATATTTTGTATGTAAACACACTCAGCTCACACATACAAATAACCAAAAATACTTTCAAATTCATTAGAATTCACTTAAACAAGTAATTAAATACTTTTCAACATGAATTAGCAGAGTCCACTTTTCTTTTGTTTACAATTTGGTTGCCAAACCCACTACAGCTGATCGTTTGACACATTTACCAGAATTTACAAGCAAAAAATTCTCGGACTAAAACTGGTAACTTCTGACAGAGAGAGAACCGTATTTACTCTCTTTTTTGTCCCCTCAATAGTCAGAGAACCGAGTACGGGATCGATTTCCAGTAAAATCTGACTGATTCTGACTAGTCCGGACTCGTACGGGATCGCAACTAAAATCTATAGAGCTTTGAAGAGTTCCGCCCGCGAGCGCTGTTTTGAGCATCACTGCATTGGCGAGATTCGAATTTGTGTCCCAGGGCATCGGAATCTTTTTCTTTATTTTAATTTAAATTTTTTTAACGTAATTTAAAAATTTTCCTTTTTTTATTAAAATTTATTTTTAAGTTTTGGATTTTATTGTTTTAAAAAATAATATAAATAGTTTTTAATTTAATTTTTTACTTTTATTTTATGTATGTTTTTTCTTTTTTATGATTTTTTTAAATTTATTTTTGTTAATTTTTAGATGTTCTTCTTTTGAAAAGAAGAAAATTGTTTTTTTTTTAATTTCATTTAATTTTTAGGAACTTATTTTATTTGTCGTTTTTTGAATGCTTTTTTCATTTTATAATAAAATTGTCTTAAATTTTTAGATTTTATTGTTTATAAAAGATATTTTTTATATTTCATTAAATTTTTAGAAACTTATTTCATTTACTTTTCTCTTTGTTTTAAATTTAATTTAATTTTCTTTTTTTTAATTAACTTTATTTTAATATTTAGATTTAATTATTTTAAAAAGAAAAAATATATTTTTTTTATTTCATTTCATTTTTAAGACTTTACTTTTCGATTTTGTTTAAAATTTAAAAATACTTTTTTAAGTAGGTACTATTTTTTTCTTTTTTAATTATTATTTTTTCTTATTCAAATGTAATTTTTAGATTTTATTGTTACAAAAAGCAAGAAACATATATTTTTTAATCTCATTCAATTAAATGATTGGTCAAATTTGGTATCCGTTATAAAAAATAATGCATCATATATTTATCTATCTATTTTGTATGATATTATACTTTTCAATTTACAAAAACAGCGTCACGCAGTGATCAGTGTCAGACCAAAGGCCCTTACACAAATTGCCTTATGAATAAATCTTTTAAAATCTTAAGTGACTCATTTTTTATTTTGTTTTGATGTGGTTTTCTGTCTTCTCGACGGCCAATCCATTTTTCAAAATGTTTAGCTTCGTTCAATGGATATATTTATGTAGCTTAAAAACTGTTTTCAAAACTTGGTATTTTCTTATTTTCCAGATTATCGGTTACATTTGCGCCATTGAATCATTTATATTGGCTGGTATTGCCTCATGGCCATGGACGCAATATTACCGTCGAGTGCCCAACGATGGCAGCGAAATGTACATCGAAGATCGTGAAATGACACCAATGAGTCCAATCGAGAGTACAGATGTGCCGAATATACACCATCAAACACAGCATAACAATCGAAATACTAGCATTGCACACAGCGAATCAAATCACAATAATCAGCAACAGCAACCACAGCAGCAACAACAACAACAACAATACAATCGAATATCATCGTCGTCGTCCTATAATCAAAAGCCTTATATACCTGGTAAGGAAAAAAAATAGGTATTAGGAATGTTAATCCCGGGATCCTGGTATCCCGGACTTTTTAAGGTCTCGAAAATTACCTGCCAAGAATCCCGGGATTTTCGGGATTTGTAATTCGCTTTGATGGCAATAATAGAAACTCCTTTTCTTGACCAGTATTGGCTATATTTATTTATTTTTATTTAATTTTATTTATATTTTTTCTTAAATGTCTAGCTCATTATACACATAACACCGCGCGATAGTAAATTTTAAACACAAATATATTCGCGAAACCATAGGCCAAATATAGTAAAATTGCGTTGTTAGTTTTTCACTCTGACGTCAGTAATTCAAAAATGATTTAAAATATTCAGAGAAATGTGCTTAGAGCAGAAGTATGGGTATAAAATTAATGAGGAAGTCCTGTAAAATTTAAACAGATTCAAGTTTCTGGTGCAGAAGGGCTGGTAAATATCGAAAATGTAATTTTAAAATTTTATCCTTGAAATTTCGCAATATTTGTTTTTGAAAAAATTATATGCTAAGGGCTTATATAAACTCGATAACATCCTCGAATTTCGTTCTTCTAACTTTGTCCGCTTAAAAATTACCTATTCGTCGTTGTAAAGCCAAAAAATTGAATTTTTAAATTCTAAAGAAATTTTCTATTGCATTTGTTATCCATATTTTTATTCTACATTGCATTGAATTTTTTTTTAATAATTTTTGGAATTAATTATTTCTTTGAAATTACAGAGTCCTTCAAAATAAATCCTGCGGTCAGAGAGAAAAAATAAAAACGCCACTTTAAATAAAAAATTGGGTTTCATACCCATTTATTTATTATTTATTTCATGGTAGAAGAGATAAAAGCAATTTTTTCGATTCAAGTTGTTGAAAAGTAATGAATATCTAAAGAAAATAAAATTAAATAAAAGGGTATTTTGAATACCTATTCGTCATTGTGAACCGAAAACTTGGATTTTTAGTCATTCTACAGAATTTTCTCTTTCAATTGGTACCCATATTGTTATTCTACATTGCACTAAATTTTTTAAATAATTTTTGGAATGCAATCATATCTTTGAAACTTCAACTTCCTTTAAAAAATTCTGACGTCAGAGTGAAAAACTTAAGACGCAGTTTTAATATATTTTCCCCAGTTTCGTGAGTAAATATATTAATTTTTTGATACTTTCATTTTTTTTGTAGCACGGTGTAATATATGTATGGCGCAGGAGTCGAGAGTTAAAAAAAAAATTTTTTTTGAGATATGTATTTTGGAACGAAGTTCCGTCATCCGTTGTCAAATTTGATTTGTAAACAAACCGGTTTCGGCGTTGTGCCAGGTTTAGTGTCATTTTTCGTTTTCCGAATGAATCTCCGAAAACGAAAAATGACACTGAAGATGGCACAACGCCGAAACCGGTTTGTCTCCAAACCAAATTTGACAAGGGATGACGGAAATTCGTTCCAAAAAAGCATCATACACCCACCCTGCCGGAACAACAATAACCAAAAAGGAAATATTTTTTTACTATTAACTTATTAATTTTTTATGTTTTTCAATATTAACACTATTTTTTTACTTTCAGCCAAACGACCCAATGAATTGATTAACCAAAGACCAACACTGGGTCACACCCAAACAACCAGGAAACCAAATACTCGTTACCGTGAAGGCTATCATTATCAACCAGTTGCGTCAACGTCCCGCCAGAGCCCCACATTCGTCTTAGGCGATGACATTGGGGCCGGTCCATCCACATCCCGATCCAATGATAATTCTAGTGCGTGATAGTTTTTATTCCTCATAATAATGTAATAAATTTAAAATACAATACAAAAAGTAATTAAAGCAAGAAAAAACTACTAAAAAATTTGCAAAACAAAAACAAAGAGAGGTGTACACAATAAGCCATTGTCATTGAATGAAAATTCAAAAAAAAAACACATTAATACTTGATAGAGAGAGAGAGAGCGAGAGAGCGAGAGTACGTCAAAGATTCAATATTCAAGAAAAAAAAAAACATGTATATCTGCGGGTATGAAAAAAATTAATCAGCTGAATTTTGATTCGGCAACGAATACTGAAGAAAAATCTATTATAATAAAGAAAACTTAAACAAAATGCATTTGGTAATTGTAACGAATTGTTTATAGGTAAACAAAAAAAAATTATAATTAATTACAATAAAAAAGAAAATTAATGAAAAGTGAAGAAGCAAACAACAGCAACAATAATAAAATAAATAGTTTTAAATGTGTGTGTAATACGAAAATATGCGAAAAAAGAAAGCAAATTACTAAGAATTCAATGAATTTAAACACTGCAATAAGAAGAAGCATGAAGACAAAGAATAATTAAAAAATACAAAATTAAAGTAGGTAACGATCAAACATATTTACGTTAGGTAATAAAAAAAAAATTTAATTTAAATGAAATGAATAAAAAATAAAAAGTATATCGAATAATCAATTTGTGTGGTTGCGAATGTTGGCGGCGCCAGCTTTCAAGGCCAGCCACAAGCGCTCTTAGTAGAGTGTACTGCGTCCAGTAGTGATTAAAAAATCATTTTGAAGTG